GAAGTGTTACAGCTCCACACTTGGAGCTTAAATCTGTGACATTTGCATTTAATTTTTTGTGAAACATGGGATTTGTATGAAGGTGCATTTACTTCCTTCCTTGCTTTCTCACAATGATATCGTTGCTTGAGTGTCACTGATTGCAAAGAACTTCCTCCCTGAGTGACTTTGCTTTTATAGCTTTGTCACAAAGCCGATGGCTGTGCTTGTGTTGGATTTGTGTCTATCTCGTTCCATCGATCTGTTTCTATTCCCTTACCAATGCCACGAAAAGAAAATAATGAATCGAGAAGGTGCCTAAGTTGCCTTACTTTCTCCAAAAATAAGGGAAGTGATTGTGCAGAGTTTCTTTGAGATACAGCCAAACTTTGTCCTTACATGTTAGCTCATTTTGCATATAGTTTCATCTGCAACACATATCAAGTACTATCCAGAGCACATATCTGGGTGGTGAGAAGGACGCAGCTTCAATTTTGCTAGTTATCTCTAGCTTGCTTTTCAATCGTGATGACACTTATCAACCCTGTCAAGCAATGGTATTTTTAATTTATGCTCCATTTTCCAGTATGTCAGCAGAATGGAATACCTTTTGTTGGGTCTGGAGATATAGTTTCCCTCTGTTTGTATAGTCTTGAATTCAGCAGACTCCTGGATTATCAGCCCTAAGAGCCCGTTCCTAATGGGTACTGGTTTTTCTACTTAGATAGCAGTATTTACAGTGATGGCTGAAAACACACATCTTCTTCCCGCCACATTTTCTGTCCCTGACTTCTTTTCCTTTATATATATTTTTCGAGTCTAAGAGCTTTACTTTGAGTTAGAATAGAAGCAGTGGCAGACAGCTTTCTTTTCCTGAATTTACAGAATGTGGAGCAGGCATTTATATATATTAACGATGGGCATCTTTGGGTCCCTCCAATAAGCAGGCTGTTGTGTATCCGTCCGGGCCTCTTGTGTGTCTGCTTTCTGAGAACACCAGCCCGTGTCCTCCTTGCTTGTGATGCCCTCCTTTGGTTTCTGCTTCAAAAGTTGAAGTAATTACCATCTCTTTTTTCATTTTTTGAGGGAACTGGGTAAAAATGCAGCTTATCCATTCATTAAGTACTGGTGAGATAATTTAAGCTGTTTTTCTTGTTTTTGTTTGCTTGCTGCTGACTTTTGTTTTCGATGTTAAGTTTTTTACTATTTTAATTAGTAGAACAATGATCAATATTTTTGTTTTCTGTGTTCTTTGGGGGCACTTACTGAAAGTTATATAGATATTATCCATTTCTTGTGCCTTTCATCTTTGCCCTTCCTGATTTTATTTCTATTTGTCTGCACCCTCTTTTATAATTTTCTTCTTTTTTCTTTGAGCTTCTTATATTTTTCTTTTCTAATGTTATGAGTAAGATATTTTGCATACTGATTTTTTAAAGTTTGGCTTTTCAGGGTAGGATTTTTCGATATAGTTCAGGTTGGCCATGAACTCACTGTGTAGCCCAGGCTGCCCTCAAACTCTGAGTGATCGATCCTCCTGCCTCAGCCTCCAGTGCGCTGGGGTTACAGATATGCACCATTTCCTGTTGTTCATTGATTTTTGAGACTGTTCTGGTATGTATTTAAAGCTATAAATTTATATCTACGAGCTGCTTTAGTTTCATTCCAAATTTTCATGTGAATTATTTTTCTTGAGGTTTGCGTCCTGAAGCTCAATTTATTTAGAATCAGCTCTGTAAGTTTCAGAACATATTGGGAGGTGAGGTCCTTTTTCTCTTGTCAATTCCCCGTTCTTGATGTTGTTAAGAAAATACCTGTGTAACTTTTTCTCTGCAGTATTTGGTCAGATTTGCTGTGCTTTGTGGCCTACAACTGGGGCAATTTCATCAAACATCCATGAATTCTTGAAAAAGGGGTCTACTCTCTGAAAAGCAGGTGTGAGTTTTTTATACATGTCCCTTGGGTGAAACTGTCCATGCTCTTTGTGATGCTTTGCACCTATAATGTTCTGAGATCGTGACATTATGATATTGTGTATAGAGTCCTGTAAACCACAGTCTAGAACAACTGCTTTTTTCCCCTCCTGGATGTCATGTATTTATTTTAGAAAATGCGCCTTTGCTTTTTCCTTTCTGTATTTCCTGTTCTGGTTCTTGGTTTTGATCACGTGGAAATGCACGTTTGCTGAGCAGGGCCTCTGGCTGCCACCTTGCACTTTCGGTGGGGGTTGAAGGCTGCCTGCTTCAGACACGTGCTGGGAAGGTCGCGGGAGTATGCGGTCTCGAGGGCTTGTTTTTTCAGAGGCACATGAAGCCTGATTCTCCCCAACAGGCAGATTCGGTGGTGTCCCACAGCTGCCACCCCTACAGCCAGGGTCCCATGGTGGCTTATCTTCCTGTCCTGCTTTCCTGATTGTCAGACAGGTAGCATGAACTCCGCTGTGCTGGGAAGGCATGCACCTGATAACAGGCAGACACTGCAGATCTGCGCCCCCACCCCAGTGCATGCTGTAACTTTTCCAGTCGAGTGTACACCACAGGGCAGACAGTAAGGCTGACTGTTTTCTTCTGGAAAGCTCAAGTTTGCCCTGGATCACCATTTAGCATCAAAAAGAACAGCTCCCTGACCACACCCAACTGTTAAGGCAGTGTTAACTGTTGTCACAGTTAAAACCCCAAATATCAGCGGCTGAGAGTAGCAGAAGTGGAAATATAGACTTGCTGTTGCCAGGACTTCCGGCAGGCAGGCAGCGACACAGCAACCCAGGCCCTGTGCACGTGTGGCCGTCGCCCTGAGGTGGCTTCTGCAGGCCCCAGACTCCGTCTGGAGTAGGGGCAAGTGTGAGGCAAGGGACATGTGGCACCTCCCATGACCAGGCACGGGCATCTGAAAGGTGGCATCTACCTGTTGGGTCTAGGGAGGAGAAGAACTGGTTCTGTGGAGGGCCGATCAGGCTCGGCCACAACAACAGACCCAAGTGTTTGTCTTTGTGGTGCTCAGTGACTTGTGCGCTGTGGTGAGGAGGCCTGGGTGATACCAAGTTTCAAATCATAAAATCCAACATCTAGATACAGTTTTAGATTATAAGACAACTCGGACTCTTTAGAGTCAAAGCATCTGTGTTGTTTAATGAGGAAGTGTGTTTAAAATCAGTGTTATATACATGTATGAACTTGAAGTTTAACACCTGTGGTCTTTGACTCTTCCAGATCCTAAGGGAAAATAAGGACATTATTTGAGAGCAAGCCCTGCCACTCCTTTCTGACAGTGTGTGAAGGACTGCTCAGGGAATCCCGAGCTGTCATGCAGAGTCCTTAAAATTAATTGACAGTTTGGTCAGGAGGCGCGGAGAGCAAGGGGACAGCTGTGTTTATTCAATTATCTACACTGTCAGTGCATGCTAATCAGCGCATGACACAAGCGGCGGGGTGCTGCTTTACTTCTGCTTTCTGGTGGGTGGCTCTGAAGGTCCCCAGGCACCTGATGACAGAGCAAGGACAGTCCCGGAAGCCAGGGTGGCATCCAAGTTGGCAGGTTTCTAAATGGAGCTGAGCAGAAGGCCTTCCTACCCCATATTAGTGGGTGCTTTCGGTCAGGCTTGGGCTGGACCGGCCGGTCACTAGCATTTGTCATTCTCTCAGAACCACTGCTGTCATCTGGGACAAGGTCACTGGAAAACAAGCATTGCCTACTTGGATAGTTGGTTTTTGCTCCACTTTTATAGGAACTTATCAGGGGTTTCATGAAAACATGACTACAGAATATTTAGCTTTTTTCAAATGCAGATAAACAACAAAAACAGAATTCCCAGCACTTATTTCTCTCTCTCCTTTCTGTGTATGTCAGAGCAGCTGAATATTAAATACCTGGCTTTAGACATCCACTGGGTATTTTGTTTGTTCTTAATCCTGTACGGAGAATTTTTAACTCTGCTGTAAAGTCCTCTCTTGGGTCTTAAACAAATCTTAGCCTTTCTACTCAACTAGATCTCCTTACTTGCTAAACAGGGATAGTCATATTGATGTACCTGTATTTGTGGGAATAAAAATGTAAAAAATGTCAAAAGAAACGCAAACAGCGTTATTATGACCAGATCCTTTATCTGTGTTTTCAGATACTACATGTGGTCAGCCACATTTTCTGCATGTATAGTTTTTTTTAACTCGCTTCAAACTCACATCATAAATATTTTAAGAAAACAGTATACAAGCACTTGTGTGAATCTTTATGTGCAAGCCAGATTCTAGGATTACAGTGCTGTAAATATTCTGCTGCTGTTAAAATTTTAGCCTAGTGTCCAATTTCATTGCAGGTATTTTGGGTGGTGCTGTAGGAAATAACACCTTGAAGGAAGAAGATGCATATTTTCAAATCTAGAGTGGAGAATTCAATTTGTTAATTGCTGTATTTGTAGTTCAACGAAGACAACAACCACCATCCTGTTCTTGATTTTGAGATGCTAAAAACAAAACAAAAAAACTCTGCCCTCTGTCTTTATACTTTATGCCATAGTTAGATCTCTTAGAAATTAGTGTCACTGAGAAGGATTCAGCAGTGGATCGGTGGGATGTGATTGGTGTAGTGTTTTTGCAGTAGATGTATTCCATCGCATTAACCTAGCACAATCTTTATGCTGTACAAGATCAGTTTTATTAAGGTATTCGGAAAGACTAGGCATGAATTTTGGGGGACCAAAATTTAAACATATAAAATTCAGTTAGCATTATCCAGTTGGACAAAAGAATTTTTACACGTTTGTGTTTATAGAAATAGCACAGAATGGGTCAATTCAATTGTGTTGAGGAAAACGACCGACCTGTATCTAATTCTCCCATTTGTTTTGTTACCACGAAATCTCCTGTAAGCATCAACTTTCTGCGCTTCCCCACAGACTGTAGCGAGGGCCTGGAGTTTCCATTTTCAGGATAGAGGTGGAAGAGGTCAGGATTGTGCCAGGGGTGCCCCGTACTACTCCCACACTTGCACCAATGCGGGTAGTGACGTCCGTTTCCGTTTTTCAGGTTGCTTCCAGCTATGCAACGTGTTTCGGTCCCACGAGATGGAAATTGACCAGTGCTTGCTGGAGTCGCTTCCCCTGGGCCAGCGGCAGCGTCTGGTAAAGCGCATGCGCTGTGAGCAAATCAAAGCCTACTACGACCGCGAGAGGGCTCTGCAGAAGCAGGAGGGTTTCCTAAAGAGGCTTAAACATGGCAAGAGCCAGAAAGTCCGCTTCTGCCTGGCGGACATGATTCAGGATGCCATCGTCCACCACGACGACAAGGAAGGTGCGTTGGACGGGGTATGCGGTGGGGAAATGAGAGATATAAATGAGGTTGCTGGCTTTCAACTATCTGCACTGTTTAAGAAACATCCTTAAAAATTCCAAGTCTGGGAAATAAGAAAAAAAATGTGAAGTTTGCTAAAATTATTATATTTTACTTTATAAGGTTTACATGGCTGAAAAAAGTGATTTTCCCTCAAATTATTCACTCAAGTTGCTAATGAAACTTTTTATCAGCGAGCTTGTTTCCTTTGATGATGATTCTGGCTCTAATATTCATTAATCATTAGCTCTTATCTGCATGCCCATAGTACTAAAGTCAGTTCCTTCAAGACTCTGAGGACACAAGAGTCAACCATCAAAAACGAAATAATCGCTTCTTCCAGGGTCTCTGTCTGTCTACTGTGTCACTAGTTCCAGGTCTTATGCTATATCTGTGTGCAGTCCATTTACAGATGAGTTTTACATGGGCTGAGATTCCATTGTATGCTTGCGATACCTGGTTTGGCTTTGTTGTTTTTGTTTTGTTTTTGGTACCAGGGATCGAAGTCAGGACCTTGTGCTTGAGTGGCAGGTGGCAGAAGCACTGAGCTAAATCCCTGGCCCTGATATCCGCTTTTCACAGCACCATTTGTTTAAAAGGCCAGCTGCTCTCCAGCTTTTGGGCAGAGGCTTTTATCAAGATTGCTCAGGGGCCACGGACTTAGCTCAGTAGTTCTGCTGCCTGCCTTGCAAGTTCAAAGAGCCAAGTTCAATCTCCGATACCAAAAAAAAAAAAAAAAAGAAGACTGCTTGGCTTGGATTTGGGTGTTATTCCTAGGATCGCTATTCCATTCTATCAGTCGATGTGTCTATTTTCCACTAGTGCTGTGCTATAATATACAGCATGCTCTGTGTTATGCCTTGGAGCCTGGAATTGCTGTGCCTCACACTCTGCCCTTTTGTGAGACCGTTTTGACTTTGCTTCACCCTTACACTTGGCTGGCTAATGGCAGCAAGGTATTCGACTTTTCTCCAAATGCAAGGTACACATCTCAGTCATGTTCAGGAGACTCAATTCCTACCTTTCAGGTATTCCTGGGTATGAACTTTCCTGTTCTTATTCTTAGAATCTACTTTCTCAAGTTCCTGTGGGGCAAAATGTTTCAACTCAGTATAAATGAAGAAGGTTTCAAAGAAACAAATATAAATTAATGTGCCATGATTGGCGCTAAAACCAGCAGTTCGATTAATCTGAAATAAGTATTCTTCACAAGACATTAACCACAAGTTGCACTCCAGAAAGCTCTGAAACAGATTTTTGCCTTTGTAGCTCATTTTGTATCAGAACTTTCTCTGACCCTTTTACATTTTCACCCGGAGAAATCATTAAGAAAATCATAAATTTAGTAAGACAGGTGTTTCTAAGGTTCTAACAAAGGATTGTCTATAAAAATGGATGGAGCATTTTGTACAATAATAGTTACAGTAAGACCCAAGTAGTTCTTTGGATTTTTGAAAAAAATGTGAAGTTTTTTATTGGCATGTTTGCAGTACATAGTTATTGTGCTCACCGTGGTTAGTTGGTACCTGTGCACAGCACATCTTAATTCTCTTTACATCCCCTTTGCTCCCCTGCTGCCCTCTCCTCCATCTCTTGGTCCCCTTCCGATTTGCGAAAGACCTATCTCCCTATTTCCTATTATCTATCATTTATTTTGCTTCTTAATTTATTTACACATGGGTTTCTCCTATGAGAGAAACCATGTGACATTTAAGCTGTGTGTCTGGTTTATTTCACTGAACATGTTGGTCTCAAGGGGCCTCCCTCTCCCTGCAAAGCTCCCGAGTTTTGTGTGGTTGCTGGTTGCACTGGGGCCCTCTGGAGGCTCTGCGTGGCAGGCAATGCTGATACCGCTGCTGGGTGACCCCGCCGGTGTGCTGGGTGCCAGGAAGGGGCAGCACCATGTAGAATGAATTCAGCCTGAAAGAACAGTGAGCCATCGACAACTTTTAGCTCCCATATTGGGCCCCAGACATTCCTGAGTAGCAGGATAACATTGTCAAAACGTGTAGAGGACCAAGTTTGATGAGTCCCGGAGCAGTGGAGTACGAAGACAGACTGTAGAAAAGGCAGCATAGCAGCGGGGCTCTGTGAGCTGGGGCAACTGTGATATCTCCTGACCCAAGCCCGTCATCCTCGGAAGAGCCGAGCCTGGCCCTGCACTGCGCTCTAGCGGGGCTCCTGCTTCCTTTCTGCCCACCTCCTCTCAGGGCCTTCTCCTTGTGACTCTGGGAGCCCACTAGGGTAAAGATCGCTGCTCCCCCAGGCCTCACCACCCTGCAGAGCAGAGTGCAAGAGTAAAGTGGCAGAGTTCGGGCCTCTCCCCTACAGGTGTCACAGAAACAGAAACTAGATGTGGGTCCTTGTGCCCAAGCCCTGTATTGCTTTCAAAGCAGTGAGGCACAAACATGTACGTGTCAAGTCACACATCTGTCCTGCAGAATATCTACAGAAAGCACAAAATGATGTCTTAGTTCAGGTTCAAAAGAAATGAGAGCAACAAACTCCAAGACCAAAGAGCATCACAGGAACTGGGGACACTTGCGTCCTAAGATCTGAGTTGATCCTGGAAGCAGTTGGGTGGGTGTGGAGCTCTGCTGTCGCTCTGGTGGCTGGAGAGCAGGAAGAGGTATGAGTGTCAGCTGCGGAGACTTCCAGTCCAGATAGAAATGGAAAAATAAAACAGCAGAGAAGGGAGGGCAGCGAGCACACCACTCATCAGTGGCGGAGCTACCGGCCGGGAGGCTTCCAGCAAGAGCAGTGTCACAGGCTCGGGATTGGGGACAGAGGAGTGGATGGTGAGGACGGGGCAGCAGGAGGAGGGTATGACAGCTGCTTGTACAGATGGACTTTAGAAAAGATCGGTCGAGTTACTTAGCTGCAGGGTGGACCAAGGGGTAAAGAGAAGGGCTGGGAGGGAGTACAGCAGGGGAGGACCCACGGGGGGTTTCGGTCTGAGAAGAATGAGCAGAGCTGGCGTGGTGGTGGTGGTGGGCGTCGGCGAGAGAGAGCAAACCACAGTCAGACCCCAAAGAAGACGCATTCATTAGTCCGTCAGTACGTTTGCGTCTTTGTTCTGTGAGGGGTCACTGTGAATGGAGAAGACCACACTTGTCCCTCTTCGTTGCCTGCTGTGGGGGTGGGTGACCGGGGGAGTAAGATAAAACATCCACAGAGGAGCGGATGCAGGAAGTGTGATGTTTGCACACAAGGCAGTACTGCGGTGTCATAAAGAGGGGTAAGCTTGCGTCATGTAGGAAGACAGATGCACTTTGGTACCATCGTGCTAGGTGAAATAAGTCAGACACACAGCTTAAATATTGCAGGGTTTCTCTTCTATGAGAGACCCAAAGTACAAACAAATGAAAGAGCAAAAGAAAGCATAATACGAAGTAGGAAGATTGTTTGCAAAAGGGAAAGGGACTGAGAGAGGAGGCAGGGGAGGGAAGGGGACATAGAAAGAATCAAGACGCCTCGAGTACATTTCCTGCGATGCCTGCACCCCGCACTGCGGAAATGTGCTGCTAAGACAGACATTTTTAAAAAGCCGAATGCAGCTCATGGCAGGCCGTGAGTGGTGTTAAAGAAGAGAGGCAGACCCGTCCTGCAGTGTCCAGGGTCAGCGCCCTGGAGAGTTTCCGAGGGATGTGCATTGGAGCCGCCGGCACTGGAGAGCGGAGTAACGGGCCTGGAAGACAGAGTCTGGCCTTGGAGTGCAGGAGGCAGTGGGAGCCTCGCTGCAGGAGGGTTTGCACAGAGCTGAGGCCCCTGAACGGACAGAGGCCCCGGACCAGAGTGCGATCCCAGCCACTGGAGTCCTGGGAGCCGCTGCCCCCACGCCTGCTGTCTGGCCCTTTTCCTTTTCCATCCTTGTTGCGCCGGGCCAGGTCTTCCTTCTTTTCCCTTTGGGGGCCTGGGTGGTTACACTGTTCTCTCCAGGACACTCACACTTTGTCATTGGTTGGTGAGGAACTCAGTACGCTTGCTTTCCCCAGATAATTTTGCATTTTCACAGACAAAATACCACTGGGAACAATTTGAGAGCCAAGTCTTGTGTTGCACAGGAAGAACAGATTGGAGGAGATTTGGGACTGAACAACTGGAAGGAGAGAGTGGCATGGACAGGGCAGGGCCCCCAGGAGTTGGGTTAAGAAGCTGGAACCCTGAGCACCTGTGCAGACAGCATCCAGAGCTGGAGGGCAACAGAAAGGAGCTTCCAGGAGCCCGGGCAGCACCTTTCAAGGAGAAAGTTGTGTCGCCGTCACAACCATTGATCAGCAGTCGTGTCACCCTCAGAAGGGTCGATGTTGTTCATTTTATGGAGCTGTTGGGAGGAAAAACCAGAATGGACCAGATTCTGAACAGAGTGTAAAATAAAACTGGACACAGGAAATGTGAAGAGCTCTGTGTGGGGGTTTTCCTGAAAGAGGAGAGAAATGGTAAAGGAACAGAAAGCTGTATGGGGAGAAGAGCAGTGGTGCTGCGAGTGTGGGTGTGTAGAAAGAGTTCACTGAAGAAGGGAAAGTGGGGGACCTGGGGGAGAGGGGAGAGGACGGACCACACCCTTGGCCCTTGTGTTTGCAGAGCGGTTTTGCGCTCAGTGGGGCCAGCTGAGCTGCGCCTTCCCAGTCCTGCTGCTCAGCAGGGCCCTCTGGGGCGATTGTATTTTTATTCCAGCGTGCAGGCCCTGCCTGGAGAGATGCGGGTTTAATCCACCTGATGCAGGGCCAAGGGAGCTGTGAGGCCAGCAGACCATGATGGAGACCTGCAGGATGGAGGGTCCCTCTGCAGGTGCAGGAGCTTCCGAGCCCAGAGCCCTGGGTTCAGGGGCAGAGAGGGTGGGGAAGGGGAAGGGCGTGGTGGGAAGAGGAGTATGGATGGTGAGGAGGGGCGGGGGAAGAGAACAGGATGGAAAGACGGTGTGAAGCCAATGATAGGACTTAGAGGACAAATGAGACACC